TGACCCTCAACTGAAGAATGGATAGAGAAAATGTGGTACATTTATACAACTATACACTACTCAGCAGAAAAAGGCAATAGAATCTTGAAAAGAACCCATCCTGAGTGAGGTAACCCAGTCACAAAAAGACAAACATGTTATGTACTCACTCATATATGAATTTTAGACGTAGAGCAAGGGATTACCAGCCTACAATCCTCTTCACCAAAGAAATTAGGAAACATGAAGGACTCTAGGGGATAAATGCTTGGACCCCAGGAATGGGAGGGGGCAGGAAATCCTGGGGTGACTGGGAGCATGAAGGTAGGGGAGATGGATCTGCCAGAATGAGAAGAGGAGAAGAGCAAAGGAGAGGAGGAAATGGAGGATCAGAAATGTTGAGTTGGGGGAAGAATAGAGGAGAGCAGGATGAGAGATACCATATTAGAGGGAGCCATTATAGGTCGGAGGAGAGATCTGGCACTAGGGAGATTTCCAGAGACCTACAAGGATGACACCAACTGACAATCCAGGCAATGGTGGAGAGGATAACTCAAGAGCCCTTCCCCTAAAATGAGATTATTGACTACTGGTTATGCCATCCTAGAGCCCTCATCCAGTGGCTGATGGAAGCAGAGGCAGACATCCACAGATATACACTGAACTGAACTCTGGAACTTAGTTGCAAAGAGGGAGGAATGAAGATCGAAGGGATCGGTACCAGGTTGGAGAAACCCACAGAAACAGTTGGTCTGAACAAGGGGGAGCACATTGACCCCAGACGCTGTCTGGGAGGCCAGTACAGGACTGATCCAGACCCCAGAACATGGATGTCAAAGAGGAGGCCCCTGCACTCCAGGGGGCCCCTGGTAGTGGATTAGTGTTTTCCCCTGTTGTAGGAGGGGCCTTTGAGAGCCCATCCCACACGAAGGGTGCACTCTTGCCCTGGACACATGGGGAAGGGCCTGGGCCCATCCCAGGATGATGTGGTGGACCTCAAAGAGGTTTAGGGCCCTACCCTGCCTGGCGAGTGGAGGGTGGATAGGGTGGGGTTAGGTAGGGGTGGGGTAAGAGGAGTGGGGGTGAGGGGAGGGAGAGGGGGAAGGGATTGACATGTGAAACAAGCTTGTTCCTGATTTGAACTAATTTTTTTAAAAAATCACAAAAAAAGAGTAGAGAATTAAAAAAAAAATAGGTGAGGTTATTAGCCAAAAACATTTTGAAAATAAAGCAAAAGATGGGGTTCTTACCTAAATAGATCCTAAAAATTATCTTAAAGCTATGGTCATTAAACAATTAGCCTGGTCCAGGAATAATAAATCTTAGTGGAAAACTAAAGAGATCTGGGGCCAAGTGAAGAGTAAACTCCAGTCAAGATAGCAGACAAATGGAAAGTGGCTCAACCACTGCTGTAATGCCAGAGTAGCTGGAAAAAATATAGTCAGAGCACTATAGAATACACTCTCCCAAGATGGAGGAAAATTAAAAATGGGGAAACAAGCACATGAAAAGTATAAAAACCAATGTAGGTAAGCTTTCTACACCTAAAACAAATGATAAAGATTGATGAGATTGGCTCACGAACCTCTTCAGCTTCCATACATCTGAAAATTCTATAAGCATGACTACAAAAAGCAATGACTGCTGAGGAACGTATCTCAACATCCTCACCATGTAACTACTAAGGAGGGAGGAACAGGCTTCAAAACAGGCAGATACTGGAAAGACACTGGCAAGTGAAACTCGAAGCTAACTCCTTTCAAAGTTTCACATGGAGGTACTAGACCAAGCTCCAGCTTAGCTTCTGTCTCATTAGACCATGGCCCTGGGATGAATCCAGACCACTGAAGTGTATGCCTGAGAAAGGTCAATAATACCAGAAGAATGTGCAGTGTGGTCTAGCCTGCACCTGATGAGGCTATCTGTTCTTACAGCACTCCCTACAAAGAACTTAAAGTTGTGATGACATCTCCTTCAACTCAGAAGCATGTGTCTGGATGCTAGGAGGGAGCGCTGTTCTTTGGCCCTGTAATCACCAGCAGGAGGGGCTCCTTCCCCTGGCTTCAGAGGGAAGACAGATGCCCCACTTCACCAATTACTTGGCACAGGGAACACAGCATCTAATTGGAAGCTGACCTGCTTCTAGCTTCTTCACTCCTCTGACTCTGCAGAGAGCAGGCTCTCCCCTGCCCTGTCTTTGAGTGCTCATTCCCACCAATCACCACAAATGCTTTCTCCCCCAGTCTCAGCAGTAGAAAAATCTTTTTGGCTTTGTGTTTTGTTTTTGGCAAATGTTGAATATGAAACCCAGGGCCTTGTGCATACTGTATCCCCAGCCCCAAACTCTGTTTCCATGTCTTGACGAATGTGCAGCTGTGTTTGATTTCAACAATACAACTTAGAAAATAGTACAATGTAGAAATTGAATGTGATTTTTGTTTGTTTTCTGCTTATCTGTATTTTTGTGTGTGTGTTTTAATAAATAAATGTATTATTGCACCTATAATGAAAAAAATGTTTCTGGGTAATTTAAGCTTCCTACCAGTTGTAGTTTCCTTTCTGTTGCGATGATAAATTACCCTGACAACAGCAACTCAGGGGGAAAGGGGTGATTTCTGTTCACAACTGTAGGCTGCAGCTCATCATGGCAGGAAGTCAAGGCAGTGGGAACTCAAGCAGCTGGTCACACGCAGAGAGAATGAATGCCTGTGTGCTTAGACTCAATTTGCCTTCTCTTTTCTACATATAGTCCAGGGTCCAAGCCCAGGGTATAGTGTTCCCCTTTTTAGGCTAAATCTTCACATATCAATTAATGTAAGCTAGATAATCCCCCACAGACAGGCCCATGAGCCAAGAAATTTAGACAGTTCCTTTCCCAGGTGATTCTAGATTGTGTCAAGCTGACAATTAAAACCAAACATCACACTACCAGAGAGCAGGGAAACTCATCTACCAATTCCAAAGCCCTCTAGATCTAGTTAGTAACATCAAGCGACCAGACGTTCTTAGTTAGTATCTCAGTCACAAAACAGTCAGCAGTAGAGCTGGAAGTGAATTCCAGATGATCTGGTCAGCACCCAGTTCCTGGGATCTCATTTCACAACACACTCAGCTTGGGATGAAGAAGGCCAATATTCTGTTCCTAACTCTGTACACAACCACTATTTTGTGTGGCCTTGGCAATTCGTTTTCCTTGTCTGGCCCTCACTTCCCTCATCTATACAACAAGAAAGAGATGGGCCTCAAGTGTGTCAATTTCTTTCCTGCTCAGGTATGCCAGATTTCTGACTTATAACACACCCAGGACCAACCAATGGCCAAGAGCAGATTCAAACCAGACAGTGGCCACACCAAACTTGGAGGCTAGAGTAGGTGCCCCATGCACTGTCCTACCTTGAATTCCTCATGTATACGTTCCTCCAGGATTTTGGCAGCCTTTCGGTCCTCCATCTCCACTTTCCACCTCTCTGCCAGAATCCGGGCTTTCTCATTGGCCAAGGCATCCCGGAACTTCTTGGTGATCTCTGCTTCCTTCTGTCTCCTTCCAAGAGAGCAGCAGCAGGGGTGAGATTGAGTGAAACACTAGAAGATCATGTCACCATGCAACTTCAACTAAAAGCAAAGAGCAGCTTCCCCTTGGTACACAGAACAGCAAACACAAAGATTAACATAACTCACAAAGGCAAAGAAAGAGAAAGATGACACTCATTCAGGGAAGGAAGGGTAAACCAGAAGGATCATTCTGGAAGCTAAGAAACAAGGCATGGAAATCCCATTTCTCATTCAAGTAGCCTAAGGTATATACAGTAGATGTTCAGCAGAGATGTTTTATGAAAAGACATGATAAGCAATTCAAATATCTATCAAAGACATAAATAAGTTGCAATCTTGTGTAATAGAACACTGCATGAGAATCTTCAACAGCCTTGGGATTTGAACTGATGGGATCTATCAAGGTAAAAATATTTTTTTTCTCTTAAATACTCTTCGAGGTTACCTTGGATGGTTGATGTCCTTTAATTCATTATAGTCTTCAGTCTTGTTTATATTTTTACAATTTTACAACTAAAACACCATATTCATACTTGATGGAAGAGGATGCTAAAGACACTGTCACATGGATTTCCAAGTTTAGAAAGAAAAAGAAATGTTAAAAGTTGTTGAGGAAAAGAGTCTGACTCCAAACTTTCCTGAAGGCTCACTCAGCTGTCCTTCTATAGTAGGACAGCTGAGTGAGTGCTACATAAATAATGTTCAGAGGAACAACAGATAGTCATGGTGAAGCAGTACTGCTAGACCATCCCTGTGAGAACTTCCCAGAGTAGTTGGGGCCGTGAAAATAGTTCATTTGGTAAAATACTTGCCATGTGAGAACAGGAAATGAATTCAGATCCTTAGAGTGCTCATCTAAATCTGGATGCAGTAGCACAGGCTTATAATCCCAGCACGGAGGCAACAGAAACAGGAGGATCCCTAAAACTCACCAGCTACCCAGTCTAGCTGCATCCATGAGCTACAGGTGCCATGAGAGATCCTGCCACAAAAATAGTGTGGAGAGTGACAGAAGAAATCTGGCATTGCCCTGTGGCTTTACACACACAAACATAGGCACATGAGCACATGAACATGCACCACACACACAGCATGCTGTCCATACCATCCAGGTAAATCCAAACTTCAGGCATGCAGGAAGTTAGGTTTTTAGGCCTTATCACAGATAGGAGAAAACTGAGGTCCCAGATTAGCTGGTTGGTGGTTCTAACACTGGAACCCACAAGGTTTACTGACAGGAGACTCTGAAGCCTTGGTTATGTGATCTTTACAGAACTCAACACAGTCAACCACTGACCAGCACCTCATTTTTCCACCCAAAGCTTAGATGCACCTGGAGCTCCAGGCTCAAACCCCACCCTCCCAGCCAGCACCTCTCACCAGAGTTCCTCAGCCTCTCTCTGTGCTTGCAGCCGTGCTCTCTCTGCAATCAGCTCTTCAGAGATCTCTTCATAGGGCTTGTCACCAGGGCCTTCACCCATGACCCACACCCAGACCTCGCCGTCTGCTCCCAGCAGCCACTGGATATGCTTGTTGCTTGCTGCCCCATGGTGGAAGGAGGAACAGAGAGAAAAGAAGAAACATCTGGTTTCCAGTTAAAGAGCAAGCTAAACTGCTGCATTGCACATGGGCTATAGTTATTGCACAACTCAACAGAGCAACAGTGACTTGGGTGCAGATTCAACACATTCCCTCACACCATCACCTCCAGGCAGCAACATAACAGCCAAGCCAGCATCCGAGGCTAACATCAGAGATGAGCTCTCATGAGGTCCATGTTAACAAAAATATCAAGTGTGATACTCTGTAGGAAATGACTTGTGCGACTCCCATGTTGAGGCAGTCAGGTGTCAGTGAGTCTTCTCTGCCCTCTCACTTTCCTATCCACTAAATAGAAAGAAGGAATCAGAAATGGGAGAGTCTCAAGGCGAAGCAGCCTGGAGCCTGGTGTCTCTGTGATATACATCATGCTGTAATTTGAGCAAGAAATGAACCTTTGCTAGATACAGCCACTGAGAGCCCTTAGTTTGCCAGTAACAGCAGGCTCCACTGATGACTGTGACTAGATCAGCAATGTTCCTCCATGACAGGGTTGCCACAGCAATAGAAATCCTGCATCTGGGTTTAGCATCTGGGTGGTGAGTGATACCTAGCAGGCCAAACATCTGGAGACCCATGCATGTGGGAACAAAACAGCTGGCAAAAATAGCATGGACTCATTAGAGCTTAAAAGGCAAACCCTGTGTTTTCTGAATTGAAAAGTTGAAAATGAAGCATTAGCAATGTGTATTGGATGCATCTGACATGGTATTAAGAGAAAAAAAAAACTAAAATTCAAGAAGGAATCAAGAGTTTTGCAGGGAGAAGTGAAAGAGAATGGAGAGAATACAGAAATTGGGGATTAGAAGGAGAAAAAAAAACCCTAGGTTCCATATTATAAGAGATGAACTGGGCATGGCAGTGAATGTCTGTGATCCCGGTACTCTGTAGGTTGAGGCAGGAGGATCATGAATTCCAGGATAATTGGGCAATGTAGTAAGATTCTCCTCTCTTCTCCCCCTGCCTCTCTCTCTCTCTCTCTCTCTCTCTCTCTCTCTCTCTCACACACACACACACACACACACACACACTCACACACACCCACACACACACACACAAATGCAAAAGGTGAAATTTTGAAGTTTTGCATGATCGAGCTCAGTAGTCTCTGTGAATGAGATGCCCCGGGACACAAAGTACAGTGACTGTGAATATGTGGTCTGTACACCCCACTACAGCAGATGCCGCTAAGTAAAACCCCCAGCCCCCAGGACCTTGTATTTGCTCATGGCTGTTTCCCAGAGGTTGTCCCAGTCTCTGACTGAGCATGCCAGGCTCATGACTGAGACATCTGACTCCCTGCCAAAACATCCTTGCATTACACTGTTCTCTACAATAAAGCCCCAGCCTCCCTCTCTTTTACTCAAGGTCAAGTGAGAAAATTTTAAATATTTATTTTAAATAGTGATAAACCCATTACATAATAGTACTAAATTGTTTCATGAAAAAAATAACTATGTGTTGTAAAGCAACAGAATTATTATTAGGCCCACCATCACTGAGCCACTGTCCTAAAGGCTCAGTTGTCTGCCTTCCTTCTACATACATAATTGATATAACAATGATCAGAGTGAAGAGGCAACCTATAGGGACAGAAAAAATCCTGCAAAACATACACCTCATTAAAGTTTAGCATCAAAATACATAAGGAACTCGAGCAACACAATATCAACAAAACAAATAATTCTGTTTAAAGTGGGCAAAGGGCACCTTACAAAAGAATACATACAAATGGCCAGCTGTGGGAGAAAACATTCAACCTCATTAATCATCAGAGAAGCTCAAATCAAAACACAGTGGGATATCACTCCATACATGTTAGACGGGTGAACAGCAAACATATAAAGCTAAAACTCTGGGGGCAGGGGCTAGAGTAATGGTTCTCAACCTGTTGTGACCCCTTGGGGGGGCTGAGTGACTCTTTCACAGGGGTTGCAAATCAGATATCCTATATATCAGATACATCACTATTCATAACAGTAGCAAATTTAAAGTTATGAAATAGCAATAAAAACAATTCTATGGTTGGGGGTCACCACAACACGAAGAAGTGTGGTAAAGGGTTGCAGCATTAGGAACGTTGAGAACCACTAGGCTGGAGAAATGGCTCAGCGTTACTTGTTGCTCTTGCAGAGGACCTGGATTCTAGTCCCAGAACCCAGGTAGCAGCTCATAACCATCTGGGACTCCAGTTCCAGGGGAGCTAACACCCTATTCTGCCCTAGTGTGAACAGCACATATGTGGGCACAGATACACATGCAGGCGAAACACCCATACACATAAAGCATTTGTTTGATGATTGATTGACTGACTGACTGACTGACTGACTGACTGACTGGCTGACTATTTTCTCAGACAGGGTTTCTCTATGTAGCTATGACTGTCCTGGAACTTTTTCTGTAGACCAGGCTGGCTTTGAAATCGACCTGCCTGAGATCAGGTCTGAAATCACTGAGATCGACCTGCCTCTCTCTCCCAAGTGCTAGGAGGAAGTATGCCACCACCACCTGGCATTTATTTTGTTTTTGTTTAAAAAAAAAAAAGCTTCAGGAAGCATAGAGATAAAGGAACATGTGTACCATGTTGTTAGGATGTGAATTAATGCAGCCAATATAAAACAAAAACTATAGAAATTTCCCTGAAAACCAAAACTAAAGGTGTCAACATGTACACATACGCACATATATGTATGCATTCAAAAGAAATTAAGTCATTATGTCAGAGATGTCTGCACATTTGTATTTGTACAGTATTATGTACAACTGACATTGAGTCAACCTATGTCTACCAAGAGACATGAACACATAAAAACAATTAAACATTAAGGAATGAATAATGAAAATGTGATACAATATTTTCTTGGAATACTATTTAGCCCTGGAAAGTAGAAAATCATATAATTTTCAACCACATAGGTGAATGTGGTGATATATTATGGATCAGGGATACAATTAATATTGAAGCTAATGACCATGATGATGAATGAACAGGAGAGATGATTTCAAGATATTTGAAGAAAAATCAAAATGTGGCAGACAAGGTCACTTTAAAAGGGATCATAAACAGGGCATTTCTAGAAACAATGCTTTTTATAAATGTAATCCAAACAGAATGCTCTCCCTTCTGGATTGTGGAGAAGGTGTGGCAAAGGCAGACATTGGACTGAAGAATGTAGGTCAACAAAAGACATTCAAGATAATATTTTGCCATCAGAAAAATGCCTTGAGGGGCCACTCGAAGTCCCCATATCAAATTCTGTTCCATCATTTCCTGTAACTGTGGAAGAAACTCCTTCCCAGGACAATTAAGGAACCTAAGACTGTTATAAGAAAACATACTGCTCTGGAAGATATATCTGACTCTGGATTTATATTATTCATGCTACAGGTGAATCTGGGAACACTGTGTTAAATGAAAGAAATCAGACACAAAAACACAAATATCATATGAACTTATACATATGTGGGGTGTAAAGTGGTTATCAGAGAAGGGGGAAAGGGATTAGAGATATGGTGGGATAAATGCATGTGTCTCTAGTTGCATATATGGGCAGCACTAACTGGACTTAATGGGTTATTTAAAAAAGCAAACATGAAGTGAGGAGGGGATGTGTTTAGGGATAGGAGGAGTTGGAGTAGAAAATAGGGATAGAAGAAAATATTTCATTGTATATATGTATAAAATCTCAAAAACAAAAAATATTTAAAGCACATCTACCTCATTAGTATACAAATTTTATCTTATCTTTAAAAATGGTAAAAAAAAAAAAACCTTTATGTATACCAAAGACTGTAGGGAGACACCCTAGCCCTGGCCCAGGCAACACAGACAGGTGTGCCAGGTGTACCGGGACATGCCCGTGAGGGCGGAATAAAGGGAAGTTGGGGGTCTGGATAGGGCAATGGCCTTTGACCTCTGAAAAGCTAGAGGCTCTAGAAAAGTTAGTACAGGAACAGCTAGAGGCTGGTCACATAGAGCAATCTACCAGCCCTTGGAATTCTCCTGTATTTGTTATCAAGAAGAAGTCAGGTAACTGGAGAATGCTGAAAGACCTGAGAGCCATAAATAAGGTAATTCAGCCTATGGGCTCTCTACAGCCTGGAATGCCATTGCCTTCCTTAATACCTAAAGGATGGCCGATCATAGTAATTGACCTGAAAGACTGCTTTTTCACTATACCATTACAAGAAAGTGATAGAGAAAAATTTGCATTTACAATGTCAACTCTTAATAGCTCACAGCCAGTTTGGAGATACCAATGGAAGGTTTTACCTCAGGGGATGCTAAACAGTCCCACTTTGTGTCAACATTTTGTACAATCACCTTTGGAAATAATTCGTAAAAAATTTCCACAATCTCTTGTTTATCATTATATGGATGATATTCTTTTATCGGATTCTGATAAGGAAACTTTGGAAATATGTTTGAAATGATGAAGGAGTTTCTGCCTAGATGGGGTTTACAATTGCCCCAGAAAAGATACAAAGAGGAGATTCTATTAACTATTTAGGATATAAGATAGACTTACAAAGAATCAGACCTCAAAAGGTACAAATTAGAAGGGACCATTATCAAACTCTTAACAGTCTTCAGAAGCTACTAGGAGAAATTTCTCAATTACAGACGATTATTGGTATGGAAGGACATGACTTAAAGCATTTAAAAATGACACTAAAAGATGATAAGGACTTAAACAGTTCACGAATATCATCTGCTGAGGCAGAAAAAGAGTTACAATGGGTTGAAAACAGAATATTGGATGCGCATGTAGATTGGATAAACCTTGATCTAGATAGCATTCTGGTTATCTTGCCATCCAGAGAATACCCTTCTGGGATTCTGATGCAGAGGGAAGACACTATATTGGAATGGATATTTCTGCCACATAAGCAGAACAAAAAATTAAAGACATATATAGAAAAGATTTCTGATTTGATTTT